ATTTTCTAATGCATTGATCTTGTTGTAATACTCGTAATCATTTTCTATATTGAATTTTTTTCCATATATCAATAATTTATTGTTTTACATCTTTATAAGTCGAATGATACTTGACAAGCTTTCTATCAGCAATATATCAATTATATGACTTTGAAATGAATACTAAGGATTCCTTAATAAAACTGTCGGAAAGATGAAAACCCTGCAACTGTCATATTAAAAAATAAATTGAGATTAGTAAACTTCATAAAGTAAGACCATCAATATGAAAGTCTGTATAACAATATGAAGTCTACGAAGAATCAAAGCTTTTCGATCATCCTTAATTTAACTATTTCATTTCTGAATCATCATAAAAATCTAACAGTAAAATATCAAAAATGTTTCACAATTAAGTACCATTAGAATATTTATTAACAAAAAAAAAAAACGAAAATGATTAATTCAATTTATAATTGATAAATGACAAATAATAAAAATGCAATTAAAATATTTACATTTAATTCAAAGAATTCTATCTATTCAATTTTTTTTTGATGTTTATTAGCACAGTTGTCGTAAAAATACATTTTCTTTTTGAAAAAAAAAAAAAAAAAGACAACATCTTATATGATTTTCATGCAAGACAAACTACACATGAATTATACAGACTTTAATATGAAATAACATTTTTGTCTCCGTCTGTATAAATTGGTGTGGTATCATTCATTGTATTAAGTGAAATTGTTTGATAAATCTTGCTTTGTGAAATTAAAACACCTTTATCATCAGTTACATTCATTTCTTTATATAATTGTTTCTTTCCATCAATAACCAATTCTTTAATACATGTTGTTGTTTGTGTAGCACGAAATTTCTTTCGTCGATTTTTTTGTATTGATGTTGTTGATGGTGAATCTGATGTTGTTGTTGTTGTACAAACAGGTTCAACAGCATCTAATTTCTTTCTATCTTCCATCCAATCATCTATATCATTCATAGGAAATGATGATGAACCAAATAAACGTTGAAAATGTTGATTCATCATTGCCATCATTTTATTCATATCATCGAATATTGATAAGAATGTTGAATTGTTATTAACTGTATTACGAAAATTGTTCGATGGTGAATTTTGATCAAAGAAAGATGGATATGTCCAACAATGAGCCATGCCTAAGAGAAGTATTAGGCCAGTTATTTGCATTAACATCGCCATGAATATTCAATAAATATGATAGACGCTATGTCAATAAAGAAAAATGTATATGTACTCTTGTCGACAATAGAGGCACAACTATACTGAGTCTCGTTCGCAACTGTATATATATATATATATGCATATATTAATCTGCGTCATTTGCTTTCTCTCTCTTTCTCTCTCCAGTCTTTATGTGTTTTTTTCCCATGTAAAATTGATAACAAAAATGGATTGGCCCTCGAATTGATTATACAAGATGTTTGTCTAACTATTGAATATGACTAAAACATTCGATTATTTTTATCGATTAAAATCGAATAATTCATATGTTGACAAAGAGATGCATTTTCTATCTTTATAGTCAGAGAAATAGAAAAAAAAACCCCAGGGGTATTATCTTTTGAGAGAAACAGAATTAATCATGTACTGTCTACTGGTATGTATTAAATACAAGAACATTCGAGAAGATTCGAAGCCTACGAATGTTATTAGATATATATAGAACTAAAACATGATTCAACCTTATTTTTCTATTCTAAGTAAAAGATATCAATTACACTTGCATCTATGATTTCTAAGTTTTAATAGAATATTAATCTGAATATCAGATACAGAATATGTATGCATTAAAAACAACTAAAAAAAAGGTCAATGACTAAACACTTATATTCAATGAAGGACGTCGACTAAGACAATTGAATGATTCATTGAGTGCTTTACAAATTTCTTACTGAGTATTTAATAATAATCATCGAACGATTGAATACACAAGATATCAAATGTATACAAAATATTTTACCAGTTGAATATTTTTTCAAAAGTTATGCCTTTGTTATTGAGCAAATTGTCATCACGTACTTCTATTGATCAATGTTTAATTAAAGAATGAATCAAATCTATTCCAATGTTTTTTTTTTGTATAAATAATCTACTCAAACTTTCATACATGAAGAGCATCATTTTGTATTAAAGTGAAAATAAAAACAAATTACGTTATCATATAAGATAAATAAACTTAGCTTCAAGAAGAAACTGGTCACAATTGAATTCGTTTCATTTGTTTTTATTCATTTAAAAGATACTGATATTCCTTTGACGATACTCATGTAAAAAAAAAAGTAAGATTAAAATTAATTGTCTAAAAATGATCGAAATAAATTTCAATTCATTTTTTAAACTTTAATCAATTATAGTTTCTGTAGGTTAGTAATAAAAAAAAATCTTGTGCATCTAATAACAGTTAAATACAGGCTATAAAATAAAATATAAAATTCATAAAAGATCCAAATGTTTCTCTCTCCACCTACAATAAAATCTAGTCTATTCAATATGAAAAGCTTCACCAGATTCATGATAATGTTTTGCTGCTGTTAATGCAACAATGAAGAATTCAAATTAATTCATAATTCCTTTATCAAGAGCCGTCTACTGGTTTAAATCGAAAGATCGCAAATTATTCTTTTTATTGAATTTTATCAGGACATAAAATTTTTCATCATATCTAACTGTTACTTTTGATTTTAATTGACGTATCTATATCAACTTAGTTTAACACAGAAATTAAAGATTATTCTATTAAATAAATTAGAATGTGGATGCATGCAATGGATTCTCTCATCGTCCATATGTACATTTTCACAGCAGCAATATATTTATCGCTTTGCACACAAATACATAAATACACAAAGATAAGAAAGTTTTGAAGAATGAATATACTTTGGTCGAGACAGTTTTTTGACCTTATATACCAATGCATAGCAATAAAGAAACACGAATAGAAAATCGTGCTTTGAAAGGGCAACAGTAGAATCAGATATATGCATATAATTAAAGATGATCACCAATGAGTAAAGAAATGATAATGAGTCGAAAGGCAGGAATATGTTTCGTTCTTTTATATTCACAATGTTATAAGCTATGATATGTTGTGAAAAGAAACTGAATCAAACGCTACAATCCCTTATGTACAACAGAACTCTACGCTTGGTTAATATTTTTAAAAGAATACTGAATTATAATGATATTTAACAATGCGTAGCTTAGTATAAATCTTGATGCAAAATTTCTGAGATTAGCATTTTATGTGAGAGCTTTTCTATGATCATGTACGGTATTAGAGTATTATCTGCTAAAAACGTACAAGAGTCTGTGATTAATTTTATGTACTATCCAATTTTTTTATTTGAACTTTTTTTTTTTAATAAAAAAGTTTTGTCGTTAATTAGTGCTTTCTTACTTTCTGTTGAACATTAAAATTATTTAAAAAACAAAAAATACTCAGAAAGAAATTTGTTATTATCATGTCGAACAATGTCGCAAATGAGACATCATTTTAACCAATTTAATTCACAATTCGTGTTGCTGATAACTTCAGCATCGTGTCAAGATAGTCGATCACAGAAATACAAAATCAAGCCAAATAGTAAAGTAAGTATAAGTAGTTACAAGATTGAAATTGAAAAAAAAATTATAAGATTTAATTGATGAAAATTAAAACAAATATTTATATGAAATCAATAAAATTTCAAAAGATCTAAAACAAAAAATGAAATAACTTTCAAATAGTTTTATCTACAACTAAAAAAAAAGAAGCTATTTGAATCTATTTCAACATAACAATACGAAGCGCACTCGTTATCTACAAAAGGTAAATGACAAATTTAGTGGCATATCACCTAAAATAACGAAAAATTTAATTAGACAAATATATCTGATTAGTGATGTGACTTTGTTTTTAAAAAGTATAACTCACTGTAAAAAAAAATACATGTAGAATAATAAACCTTCACTATTCATTTATTTACCTTTTTTTAAATTCTTTCTCTTCATGAACTCTTGCTACGGCTTGTAGTCCGTTGTAAATGCATTCACCTTTATATTGCTTTTAGATTAATAATAATATATAATGAAACATCCTTAAAAAAAACTTAAAGCTTACAGTCGAAACTACAGGTTTTAATCCTAATCGAACAGTGCTAACAAAATTTTCAATTCAAACTAGAACATATTCAATTTCTTCAAGATTAAATATAACACTATCATTTTAAAAATAATAAATCTAAAATGATACTCTTGCAAAATTTCGATTTGCAAATTTCGCAATAATCATATTAGATTTACATAAGCATCTTACAGTAAGATATTTGTAGAATTTCATAAAATTATACAACATGAATTTTACGATATTCGATAGTCAGTAATATCTTGTATGATCTTCATAAGATTTTTTTACTCGATAATTCCAGCAGTTCACTTCATACAATAATTAAGATACTTATGTTAAAGAATTTTCTATTGCTCATATTGAATCAAAATAACGTTCCGTGATGATATAGTTTCTAACATTCGTAACGTGATAATTTTCATATCAATGATTTTTAATTAGCAATATATTTCTATTTGATTTACGTTCTTTTTCATTCTATTTTTTCTATGAAAGAAAAACTAGCATACATGTTGCGTTCATTCATGCATTACATTTATATTCAATAATGATAGACAGAAAGGAAGTAAGATCAGAAATTGTCAAAATTACGATTGTTATTCAAAAAGAAAAGAAACACATGTAACGTACAGGTACTATGTAAAGAAAAAAAAAATGACTCTACTCATCATTATTTTATTCTTCATTAAAAGAATATTGTCCCTTATTTGACAACTGTAACCAAAGAATATCTCAAACAATAATTATTTTGAATTTTTTTTACTCAAAAACTAAAAAATTTTCATTATAAATATGTCTTTACGACGATCAATCCTACGACTAACATTCTACATTTATCGAACGATTTTCGCAAGTAGCCGAACTTATCGTTATTCGATGATTACTATGATTGCAATGATCATCTATTTCATCATTGTTGTACCTACTCTAATAAAAAAAACATCATCAAATTCAACATTGACTTATGATAATCATGATTTGAAACATCAACTATTGATAATGAAGGAAAAAAATAAAAACAATGAATTTATCATTGAACAACCATCTATGAATATATTAACAAATGACGCTAATAGTAAAATAATACTGTAAGTTTCTACTTGATATAATTAAAAAGTAAGTTAGATAAGAAATAAAGAAATTTCTCTTTTGCTATTGTTTTAGAAAAGAATCACATAAAAAAATATCATCTGAGGCACGTTTACGTTATTCATTTATTGATATTGATCATCTTAATGTTGACATTAATTATCTTGATGAAGAATATCGTCCATCACAGCAATTAAATATCAATCTTCCATATGCAAAAAGTCATCCATACTCACATATAGTTAATGTAAAAGGTGATTCAACCGTTATTATATATAATCGACTACCACAATGTTATGAATTTACTATGGGATTATTATTAAAAGATATATCTCGTCTTCATTCATACACTTATATATCAAGTCAAATATATGAACCATTTTCTTATAATAAATCTGCATTGATATCAATAGCACGATCATTAAATAAACATACATGTAAACAATTATTATATGAACGACAAATATATTTTTTTGATTTTTATGCATTACTATTTCCTAATCATCCTGTATGGATTACTTTAATTCGTGATCCCATATTTCAAGTAGCAGCAGAATATGAACGTTCACGTGAACTTTGTCGAACGAAAAATCGTTGCTTTGTACAAGTAGATACAATAAAAGAAACACTTGATGAATGTGTTATAAAACGATCACCAAAAGAATGTATTTCATCTCAATATGGTATTACACGAATGTTACCATTTTTTTGTGGATTAAAATATCCAGCTCTATGTCAAGAAGAAAGTGATCAAGCATTAGAACAAGCAAAAGAAAATATTAATTTTTTCTATACAGTTGTTGGTATTGCAGAAGAATTTTATAAATTTTTATACGTTCTTGGTATGTTCATTTATTTCAATTCAAATGCAATTGAAGTACACTGATAAAATCTTCTTTGTGGAACTCACATATACTTTCGAAGAAAATATATTGAGTGAAAGTTTAAATCGAGGTTTTTGGTGACTCCCCATATACCTTAACTACTTGAAGGCAGGCGATAGTGGCCAACAATTATTAAGTAGGTCTTTTTTAACAACGGGAGAAGGCATATCAGTAAGAACAGTGTTTTTAGATTATTTTGAAATTTTCTAAAATCTTCCAAAACATTCTGAAAATCTAAGATTCGAACTAGTCTAAATGTTGCGGGCTTTGGTATTTAATGCAACGAAAAATTCTTATTGTAGGTGTCAATCAGTAGAGATAGTGGTATTATTGACCTATCAAAGTCAGAGCAGGACAGACATTGAAAAGTATGAACCAATTCAATTGTAAGCTTAGGACAAAACTCAACAGCATATGTTAAAGTTTGTCTTGAGAAAGAATAATCCGTTCAGAAGCTTACTGGATGATTAAATCAATACGTAAAACAGGCTAATATAATGGTTGAATCAACAAAATGATATTTGCTGATTTTTATGGCACGTATCGTACATATTATCATTAGGAAAAGAAGAAATTATATATTGAAGAAGTGTCTGTCTATGTATATAATTGTTTTTCAATATAACGATGTTAAATGAGCCAAATAAATCGGTAGAATATGAATTCTAAATGTAAACATTTTCGATATAATAAAATTTAAGGGCATGCATATCAACTATAAAATTGTTATAATTTTCATTTACTCTCTAACAACTCATAGGGACACACTGACAAGTTTTTTCTTTATTCTGAAATAGTTAATTAAAGTTTTTTTGTTTTTTTTTTGTTTTCGTTTAGAAAAACTTCTACCACAATATTTTCAATTTGCTCGCCTTCTATTTATGAATCAACGAGATTCAAAAGTATTGGTTGATGAAAGAGATTTGAATATTCAACTTCCAAATGAAAACACAATCAAACTTCTTATGCCACTTCTTAAATATGAATATGATTTATACAATTATATTAAAGAACGATTTTTAGATCAATATAATATACTAGTTGAGCTTGATAGTTGAACTTTGTTTCAAGATGAAAAAAAAAAAAAAAAAAAGTTTTTGTTTTTCTAATGTTTCGATCTATTCTTGAATTATTAAGTAAATTTTTTGAAATTATATGAGACTTGTATTTTACAATAATTAACTATTAGATGAAGAACAGATAATAATAATGATCGAAAATAACTGAAGATCGGATGTCTATGAATCGATTCTTTTTAGTAACACTCAAAAGATTAATGTTACAAATAGATTAGATTCTTGTAATCAATCTGTTAATACACATTTATTTATCTATCCTTCAAATAATTACTTGTTTGAAAGCAACTGGGATCTTTTTGCTTATAAAAGTTCTTAAGTGCATATAGAGCTTCCTTTCAAGCTCTGATCGTTGATACAAACATTTTGTTATGAAACTGATGCTGATGTTTTTTTTGTCGAAGTCACCTAAGTTTCTGTCCTTCAACGGAAAATAGCGAGTAGCAGTTCAAAGTCATCATTTTCCGGCTTCTCCTAATATATTAGCAATTAAAATCAAAGGTCAACAATCATACGGTAGTGTTCTCTAGTAAACGAAGATTCTAGCAAGTATAGTTAAAAGTCTATGAGGCTGTTTCATTAGTAGTCAAAATTAACAAATAATCATTTCAATTATTAATTGACTCAAATCAAACTATCAATAAATGTTAAGGACAGATAATGTTCAAACCAAACGCATTGTTTCGATTCAATCTATCATCATTAGAATACAATTATTTATTTGACAAGCATCACCATTTACTGATTCTTCTTTTTGATTAGTCTAATAGATTGATAATAACTGCATGATATGACAATGAAATAGATACATAAATATTACACACCTTGTACTATTTAATTAACATATGTATAATATCAATGATTATTTGTTTAGTATTTTTCATAATATAGTTTTGTACAAATGAATCATATGACTTTAATCAAAACTACACGATTTCAATTCAAATTATGCTGGATTTATAAGATTATTGTTTGATTAAAAATCAAATTATTATCGATTTCGAAGATTTCAATTGATTATAATTTTGATTTTGTTACAGAAAAATCCGACTATAATCTACTGAAATCTTCCATAATCTGATATTTTTCCATTGTGTTTACCAGATTGACTTCTGAAGAGAACTGTCCAAATATCTTCAACATAATGATTTTGTTTTATCAGTGAAAGTAGAATTAGAAAAAAAATTTTAAAAGGATTTTTATCTTTAAATCATCTAATTAAGATGAACAATATTCGAATAAATATTGAAAAAAAGAACCTATATATTTCTTTACAGTACAATGATAGTTTTGTATATCGTATGAACTATTAATATTAGATGATGAAAAGATCATTTCTATGTACATTGTTCGTTCGATAAAACATCTATCAATAGTAAAATATTTTGAATAACTGTGATAAAGTTTCATATGAAATTCAAAGAAAATAGAAACATTTCTTCGAATATACACAAGAATCTCCATGAGATGAAATTCAATGTTGATTTATTGTTGATAAACTGAAGTGATAGTCTATGAACATTTTTCACTCTAAGTTAAATTTCGTAATGTAAATGCAATTATGATCGAACAAAAATCGAAAAACTTTGATTTTTATTCATGAATCAATTGATACAGATTTTCATAATATCGATGAAGATAATCATTAACTTATAAAAGAAGGTAAATTACTGAAAAAATCTTTCTCTTTTATGCTATGAAATTCTATTTTTGGTGTATTTATTTGTCATAGTCTTATGGTGCAATGAAGTTTATAACAGAGATTTCAATCAACCGAAGAAAGTCGAGTTATTAGTTATTGACCTTTTGACTAGGCATGATCCATAGTGTTCTTCTTCTCAGATGATTCACCCATGGATGATTTGTTTAATTGCACTAAATGATTAACACATGCATGAGCAAACATATTTCGAGTACAATAGTTGATATAGAAACAAATGTTCGTTATCATATTTGAAAACTCACAAAATCTTTAAATCTGTGTGTATTTGTTGATGGACGAGGAGAACTAGGCAAAGATTTTTTCTTGGCGTATTTAACTAATAGAAGAGTTAAATGGAACATCTTTTCAAAATTTTATATTTTATTCAAAATTCAGTTCGTCGGCATCCTTGACAATTTTGAGTCAACCCTGTCCGGTCCAAAAAGGTTTCTGGTTCATATCTACAAGTAATGGAATAAACAAGCTTTTGTTTTTTTGTAAAGCTCACGATTTCTAATGAAATAATGCGCTATCCTATAAGAATGAATAATATGACAAATATCATATTTAAATCAATTTGACAATATTCAATATGAGACAAGATTTGACACAAAATAATTTAAAATAGAAAAAGATGTTTTCTAAACTTTTGTTTTAATAATCTATTTAAAAAAAACATTCTAAGAGAAGCATGATCGAAACATATTCATTAATTTGTTGTAGTGTTTAGTTGTATTTTTTTTATAAATCTGTTTTTGGTCGATTTTTGAGATATTCTGCAATCTTTGGTTGTTTTGCAACTTCTTGAACATTTTGTTTTAACCATGGATAACTATTTAAACAATTTTCATTTGTTTCAAGAAAAGTTTCTCCAAGATCATAGAACAATAAATCTGCCCATGTTAAATGATTACCAACAAAGAATGGACCACCATTACCATAAAATTTACATAAAACTTCAAGATTTTGTAAATGTTTTGGTAATTCATCAGCAAAAAATTTCTTCATAAGTTCTTCTTTTTTTGTTTCATCGGATGGCCAACGTGCTGATACATATTTTGCTATAGCGTCACTAATTGTATCAACTACAGCATCGACTTTAGCTTGTTCAAAATTATCTTTACCAGCTAATTGAAATTGTTTAGCAAGAAAACGAGCAATTGATAATGATTGTGGTAATTTTGTTCCATTATATTCAAGAACAGGCATTTGACCTAAAGGCATTTCACTTTTATGTGATGGCCATTCACTACCTTCGTAACGAATATCTTCATATTTTTGACCAGCAACAGCAAAAATTAAACGAGAAACTTCAGCACGACCACGTCCATTAAAATAGTATAGTTTGTAGGTCGACATCGATGCAGTCGGAATGTAGTTGATATTTGAAAAAGAAAAAGAATATGTTATAAATGAAGACGTGTTTTATATGAGACTAATGAAATCATCGCCCACATGCTACTAGGTTTTTTTTTCTCGGTGTTGTCGACGAGTACTGCGGAGGAACGAGAAAAAGAAAGAAAAGGTTGTTGATAATGCAAATTTGCCTTCAATAAATAAGAAACTCACTTAACAAATCCAACAAAAAGCACATTGGTTGCTTGAAGATAATATTAAATGCACACAGCTTCTCTCACGAAAAAAGAAAGGCGAAAATTTGATAAGTTGTTTGAATTTATCATTATACTCATTGGTTTTTTTTCTCTCAAATTAGTACGATCGCGTGATAATAATCAATTAATAACAATAAAATGAATAGAAATGTATTGATCTATAAATTTGTCTTTAGTAATCTTCATAGATTCATATTCAAGACAATTATAATTTATATCATCTGTAGACAAAGAACAGCTCTGATACTTCTCACTTCATGGGAAAAATTAATTTTGCATGACAGACTTTATTTTATCAATTAAAAATTAATCTTAATGAAAATAAACAAGAAATTTGAAGACTTTGTATTTTGCCCATTTATAAGACCCCGATGAAATTAGTTGAAATCTATATGGATTCGTCTCTATGCACTGTTCTTTCTAAGATATTATAGCTTTACTGTATTATTTTTAATCTCGGCAAGCCATTTGTCGAAAAATAAAATTCTAAAATTTCACTCTGAAATTTGAAAACACCAGGCTTTCTTACCTTTTCTTGTGATATCTTTTCAGGGTATTCTACGATCTACAAGACCAACCTATATGTAAGTTTTCAGGTTGAAATTTCGGAATTTATTTTTTTCACAAACAAGTTGCCAAAGATGAAAAATGCAGTAAAATTGTAATAAACTGGAAAGAATAGCATACGGTGATGAACTCTTATAGGCTTAATTATGGGCAAAATATCAGTTCAATCGGTGAGTTATACTTGGGAACTTTTCTTTAGTAGACAAAACGACTATTTTCTTCTCATCATATTTCGTGAACATTTAATACCTTGCTAAGAGAACAAGTGTTTTTAAAAAATCATCATAATAAGCAAACCTATTTGAAGACGAACCTAATCTCGAAACGAAGATGTATCAATCAATGTATCGCAAGTAATAGTTGTATATTAGCTGCAATAAAATCTTAATGAGTAATCATTTAATGATAGATGATTAAAATAGATAATGTTATACATGTTCACTGCATTATATGATGCATACATATTTCAATCAAAAAGTGTTCTCACTTTATCGTGAAACAAAAAAGTTTAACAGCAAGAACCAACCAAAGAACAAAAATAATCGATAAAACTGAGAAAAATCTTTTGTATTAAAAATAAACAACACTATTGCACAGATTTGTTTTCATGCAAATAATCACTTCATTTGATTTTTAACGTATTAGAATGCCATATTGATCTAACAAAACCTTCAAAAAAAAATTATAATGATCTATTTATCGAATAAATTCTTAATATAATGTAAATCTTCTTTCGAAAACTGTACATGCTTATAAAGGAAAGCCGATTAGATATACATTTGAAGGATTCAATATTCAATTTAAATTTTTTTTAATAATAGAATTACATCAAAAAAGATAAAGTTTTATATTAAATGAAAATTTTATTTTCTTAAATATCATGTTTTTCCATATGAAGCAAAATGAAGAGCAAGATGACGTACAATTATGAAACGAGTTCATTGAAACTTGATCTCAATAATATGTTATAATGAAGTTAAAAGAAAAATAAGAAAAAAAAAAAAGAAGAGCAGTTGATGAATGTCAATATCTTAATTTTGTTCTTCAAAATTGTGTTTGTGGTCGATTTTTGAGATATTCTGCGATTCTTGGTTGTTTTT